GGGTTTATGTTTAATATACGGACATTGCGTAATTTTATATATAGTTTATAGGAATCCGTCAATAATTTCATTCATTATCATATATTAAAATCTGATTCATTAATTAATTGCATCAAGCGTTAATTTATAAAAGTTCTTCATCAAAGTTTTTTCTTTTTAGAATAATTTGGATGATTATAAGATATTATATGTTAAGAATTTTTTATCAAAGTTTTTTTAATAGTTTGGAATGATTATAAGATATTATCTGTTCAGAATTTTTTATTAATTTTTTTTGAATAGTTTGGGGTGATTATAAAATAATATCTGTTCAGAATATTTCTTAATCATTGACAACACACACCATTAAGACACAATCGCTCAACTCATGTTCTCTGGAAAAAAAAAACAACACTCCATATAATCACGTATAGAACTTGTAATTGAAGACATGACAGATGGACATGATTACTAATTGGATAAACCTTAAAAAAATAGCAAGCATAAGCTTTCTTGTGGGGATGGTATGATGATAATTGCATGGATCCTTATTTCTACGTTTACTTCAAACATTACGAGTGCTATTGATACGAAGTTGACAATTTTACTCAAATTATCATTTGAATTTAAATAAATAAATCCAAACATGTATTAATGGCCATTCCTCAACTTGCCCTTGTGAAAGACGATAGTTTTAACGTATAAAGGTGTGGACTTTGAGAATAATGATGAAGTCCCTGGTATGTGAAACGACATGAGATTCCGAATAAAAGATGGAGTAAATGGAAAGACTCAAGTTGCAGGTTTAGTCTTCGAATTATTAACTTCTTAAAATTAAATTACATTTGAATTCGAATCAGAATTAAGTGGCAATGGAATATTGGGGTGATCTTATATTCTTATTATTATTATGCACAGGACCATTGATCAAACAGATATGTGCTATCTGTCTATTTAACCTGACCTGTAAAATCTTAAATATAAAGTATTAGGTTAGTGTCAGTCACCCTGAACCTTGAACATTAAAGATAATTTGGTCCTATAATCAAGCATGTTTCTCGTTTCAGTAAAATCTGCAACTTAAAGCCAACAAGTATGCTTAAACTTGTTGCAATGCATGCCACCATGGATATGATCTAATTACACATAAGATTTAATTACACATGGTAAAACTCTTTTAGTTTTATAAAGATTTAAGACTATCAGATAAGTGAAAATAGATGACCGAGATTAATAGTAGGAAATGAAAAGATATTCATTGGGAAAAAATTAATCTTAATAATCTATTTTAAACTCGATATCCACCGTGTCATTTAATAGTTAAATTAGAGTTATAAACAACCATTTTGAAGTTCCGAAATTAATAGAATTTAATGCCGATAATAACAACAAATTTTAGTAGGGTTGGAGTAAAATATAATATTAATAATAGTAGGAGGATCAGTTGTGGCATAATGAAGCATATGGATTAATTCTTGAAGTTGAGTATAATGTAGGGACGAAAAGTATGATTTAAGCAATATTATCTTAACTTCCTGCCAGAGGTAAAGTATGAAAAGGGAAATTTAGACAACTCACCATTCAGTTTTGGAATTTATTCTTCCAACAACTTGACCTTAAATTGTTATTAAAATTATACACGTTTCTATAAGAATTTGACCATCAATTTCTTGTTATATAAAAGGTTAGACAAATCATTTCTAATATATATTCATCACGCAATCCAAACTTAAAATTTATTCAAATTCAAATTCAAATGATCTAATATCTATCATTAAATTTATATATTTAAATTAATATAATTAAAAATTATATGTTAATTTTTTTTAGAATCTGTGTCAAACTGACATAATGTGTAAACATTGAGAGTTATATTTGTTATTATATCAATTAAAATTATAATTACTCACTTTCAAAATTAGTATAAATTGAATATATGACTCCATTTTTCTGAGAGGGACTGGTTTATCTATTTTTAACATTGAAAGGGACTTGAGACGTGTTTTAGCCAAAAGTTACGAGGAGAAAGAAAGCAATTGTGAAGCTGCCTTAAAATGATAGAGTTTGGTACCCAACTGATCTAATTAATAGACCATCTCAACTACTTTGAAACTATTTGTGTGTTCCGATTTCTACATTTGTGCACTTTTAGGAATTACTACAAAATGTCGATTTGAGGACTCAAGAATTTGGAAAAGGATACATATACTCAGATTTTATATTTTAAACTTGTTGAATTTTAAAAATAATTCCACGGTTTAATTATACGATATCTTCTATTCTTAAAACACTAAAACCAAAGGTTTAATTTACGATTTTAAGAGCATATGGAATGACCTTAGTGATAAAAAGGAATGATGTTCTTCTTAGGGATTTTAGGTAGCAACAGTATGTGTGTACGTTGTCACAAATTAAAAAAAATCTGAATATATATTTTACCTTATAATCGTCACACAAACTATTTAAAAAATATGATATATAAATGTATTTTTCACATTACACTTCAAATATATATAGATTGTTAGCTCGATCGATTAATTGAAATATCAAAAAAAGATAAATTGACTTTTAAAGAAAAAAATAAGAATAATAAAACACATGATTTATAGATGTTCAACTTTCTCGATCAAATTTACAACCACTACCTTAACTTATCACCACTAAATATTTCTCAAATTCACTAATTTAAATCATTGGCACTTACAAATTACCTCCCTCTATAAATATAAATATGACATTTTTTTAAAACCCAAAAATATTAATATTATTTAAAAATTATTATTTTTCAATTATTTATCATAATTTTCAACCGTAACTAAGATATAACATTAATAATAATCACGAAAATACGTAATATTTTATGTTAGGAGGTAAACTTATAAAATTTTAAGGGCAAAAATAAATTATCAATAGAACATATATAAAAAAATATAAAAAATAAGAGAATTTGAAATTTTCAAGGAAGAAACTATCTCATTCACACCCATTCACTCCATCTATGATAATAATAGAAGTATCAAATTATGATGTTGAAACAGAATATTGGAGTTGCTTTCAGACTGACATGTGCTATGAATCAAATGATAAATGTAGTAAATGGGCAAAACAGCAGAAGAAGAGTACTGATTTCATCATTGTTGGAGCAGTTCCTTACATGTGAGGGGCACTATACATCTGACCAAAACTAGCAGTTTGGGTCTGAGAAATATGGATTTTCACGAAGAAAACAGCCTTGAACAAAAAGCATTTGATATCCCAACTTGTAGTGTAATCACCCGCTGCCATTTCATAATCTTACCAAATTGTCCATATCTTCACCTTTCTACTCAAAAACTATTTCTATCTAATTACTTTTAAGATTTCTCAATGATCATAGTATAATTAACTTGCTAATATCATGGATCCACTTTTCAATTAAAGAATTGATTTGGATGGACAGCCATTTTTTGGAATAATTTTCAGGCTTGTAAAAGCTATCATTGAAGAAGAGACAAGTTTGGTAAAAAAAAACGTATAATGAAACAAAGAAAATGCAGGTTTCCAGGCCAATATCTAAGGCAGGAATCATTAATAGAGGAATGATGAATGGTGACAAAATATGGTGTTCAATTAGGAACCCATTCATCAATACTGCTTCCAAATTTGATCCCATTTTACTAAAATATATTCTTCTTTATAAATAATGGGATGCCGGCTTTAACTTTGTCTACTTTCTTGTCTTTGTTTTTGTTAGGTTTAAATCCTGCTTTTTAATCCTTTTACTATATAATCACTATATTTTAATTCACATAAAAACCCCTCTTCCAGCTAATGACATTTTAAAAATACGAAAACTCAAGTTTATCACACTCATGTAGTGAGTGAGAAAAAAAGGGATTTTATGTAAAAATATTTTTTTAAAAAAAATTGTCTAATAATAATGTTTGATTTAGAGATAAAGAATAATATATCATTAAATATTATATAAAAGCAAGAATAATATATCATTAAATATTATTCTCCTTAGAAGTCTTGTGTTCAAACAACTATGTGCAGGGTACGTATACCCTGTTAATTGGTTAAGAAAGTTCTAAATTAATATTACCGGGGAAAAGCAACAACAAGGCCATTGTAACAGTAGCTATGTTAATAAAATGACTTTTTAATATTTTTCCAATTAAACTCGTACATAGTTAACCGATAAGAGAAACATAACAAACTCCTAAATAATACTATAGATAAATACAAATAAAATCAAATTAAAACAAAATCCCTAATTTAAGCATAGTAGAAGGAATTTGACCTTTTTACTATTATTTTCTATTCAAAATATGACATAATAAAAATCAACGTTGACAAAATTATATCATGATGTAGGGACCAAAATGAAATTTAACCTTTCTGCAACCATCTATAATCAAGAAGAAAATATAACAAGTATTAAGTAGGATTTGAATCCACTACCTTTCGGACCAGAACCTTAATCCGGTGCCTTAGACCAACTCGGCTAGCTCAACCTGTTGTACGTAAATCTTAATTTTATTTATATAATAAATGTCTCTATGACCTACAGGATATATCGAAACCCAGACTGAATTCTTAACATGCGATTATATTTTAGTTCTACAAACGACATTAAGTCCAAATACACTAACATTTTATCCATCACTTTCCAGTATATTAATCATAATCACATGTAAAACCCATTATAAATGTATAAATCATAATAAAAAGAATAATGTAAGATAACTTGATATGCATATGTCAATTATCCAGATTTTTGAAGCCATATTAACCCTTTCGGAGTCCCACGTTGGCCGCCCTTTAGTTCATTATTGATGACTTTTCAATTACCTAAATATCTAAAAATTCAAGCTTTAAACATTTATATATACAAAGAGCGTATGATTTCATAATTGTAGACACAAGGGATCAATCCTTTGATAACCTTAATAATCCCAAATAAGAAAAAGACATGAAAGTACCGAGTTGCTTCTCATTTAATAAATCAATCTCAGACAATCTTTTTTATACAAAACTATGAGAAAGAAATTCATATATGATACAATTTCCGTAACTGCATGCGAAATTTTACTTCCATGAAAAATAATCTGGCAAGTCCCATGTTAAGAATCAGCGAGTCCCGTTTGACTATTTGGTACAGATATGTACAACTACTACTGCAAACAATCAAACGAATGCAAGTAAATAATATTATTCCCAAGTCCTTCCAGTTAACATGATAATTCTCGTAAACAACGAATGCATATATGCCGGCATACACAACCGTGTTTATGCACGGATTGATGAGCACCAAAAACATGACAAGGAGAGACAATGAAGTTTCATCCAGTAACATTATACACCCTCGAGCTTTTGCTGATTGTCAAAACCTCTCACGAAGAAGCCAACAGAGGACAGTATGCCGATGATGTTGAAGCATGTAAAAGTGCGTACCTTAGACTACCTAACAGCCTGAATCCCTCTATCTCATATAGTCAAAAAGAATGCTGTATTATGTGCAAGAAGATGACTTCGTAGGAGTACCAACCATTCAGGTAAGCAATGGCATGTCAGCATGCCCTGTTTGAGGGATAGAAGGCTTATTAATCATTGTCTTCAACAGTTCCATGATATTGGAAAATGATGGACGCTTCCAAGGCTCACTGCATTAAAAATTGACAATGATGAAACAGGGAAATTTGCTAGCAAGCTTAATATCACAAAAGCTTTTTTAGACTTACTTGGCCCAGCAATCCTCGATTATGGCAGCTACTTGAGGATTCAAATCCCGAGGAATATCAAGCCTTTTGCCCTTGAAACCAACAGCTGCTACTACCTGCATAACAATTTAGGTTGGGCTATGTTTGTTAGAAAATTAAACTCAAGAAGATTGTCATTGCCTGACAATATTTAAGTTTACGAAATAGTAAAAACCCAAAGTTCAAAGGTACTAGATTACAGAAAAAAAAAATGCAGATATATCAGTAGTTCATGTTCATTGAGGGGTACGTTGGTCAACGAAGTGCAAAACTTAGCTAATCCATTGCAAGCTGCAAAAATTTCAAAGAGCTTCCCTTCACACTTTGTCCAGATACATTTATAAAAATTAAGTTAGATAGACAAACTTGAACTTTATTTGAATATATGCATACATTCAGCATAAAGTGATGAAGATAACCATAGAGTTCATTTTTCATATGACATTCAAGTATGTGGTTTATAGTTCAGGTCATACAACACACTCTTCAAGGGAACTTTTAGTTGCCATGGGATTATCATTTCCTTTTAATGAAAGATTCAATATGAGCCTTGTCAAGCACGCTAAATCATCAGCAAAATGAGACATTTGATGAGACAAAATCTCTAATACATTAACAAACCTGTGCTGGATTTAAATTGCCCCATGGTAGTTGCAATGTTGCAAGCTCCCACAAAATTACACCGAAACTGTATACATCAGACTTCTCGTTTGATGGCTCATCACGGAGAACTTCTGGAGCCATCCACTCAGGCTAATATAAATAAAATGTATTTGTTAATATTTTGCAGCATAAACAGTGATCTATGGTAACTAAAATAGAAATACCAAGAATATAGTTAAAAATTAGTTTAACATACAGTTCCAGCTGCTGATTTGGATGAAAGAAATGTGTTTGCCTTCAAACGAGAAAGCCCAAAATCACAAACCTGAATTTACAGACCAGGAAAGTGAGGAAGATTTCTGAGAAGTAACTTTTCAGAGAAATTTGCATTAAGAGGGAAATGGATATAATTAAAAAGTGGGTAATAAATTAAAGTAAATGATGTTGGCTCCAACGATATACATTGCTGGATATGATAACAAAAACTAGTCGAGAACCACTTCTAATAGTAAAAACCTGTGGCTATATTTAATAAATGCAAAGACATTACAAGGCATGAGATCTAGATTCCATTATAAGTTGAGAACAAAGAAGCCAATCACCTGGCTTTTATCCATTGAAAAAATAAGTAAATTAAAACGGAAAAATGTTTATGCTTCCTGTGACAGGATTATTAGGTGAAAACACTATGCTCTTTGAGATACAGCAGCAACATTTTGGGACTTACCTTCACCGTGTATTTCTTGTCAACCAAAAGGTTTGGTGATTTTAAATCTCTATGAACAATAGGGGGATTACGTCTATGAAGATAATTCATTCCCTTTGCCTGTGCACAAAAGAAAAATGAGGGTGATTTAGACCATCACATTAACAATACATAAGAATGATACATAAGAAATTGGAAAACAATAAACAAAAAGAAAGTGAACCATTTGAAACCCACCACATCATAAGCCATACTCAAGCGACGCCTTTCATCCAACACATCTCCCACACCGGGCTTACGCAAAAGCCTATACAAGCTACCTCTGCAAATTAGAGTCAAGGTTTTAATCCACTTAACAATTCGAACCTCTAAAAGTAGTAGTAAGCAGTAAACAAAACAATTTTCTCGTCTTCTTTATTCAACTGATGGAATGCAAACACGGGCATTTCCCTTCTCTTCCCACCCCAAAAATATAAAAAACAGAAAGCAACAAACCTTGATAAGTATTCTGTGACTATGGACAAGTTAGGGGGCTGAGTAACAGCTCCCATAAAAAGAACAATATTTGGATGCCGTAGACGTTTCATTATTGCAACCTAAAACAATTGAGGTGAAAATACAATCATATCATGAACATGAATGAAAAACTGATGTTCCTTAATCTCATGAACAAAATTGTTCAAAATGTCAGCCAATTCATACCTCACTCAAAAATTCTTTATAACGCTCACCATGCAAATCCTGTTCCATGAGAATTTTCACAGCAACATCCTGTAATTTAAAAAAATTATATGGAGAAAGAGGAATCATCAACAGCATGTGTAAAATTTAACCACCATAGCGTTCATTCCTACCAGGATTAGTTGCAACCAAGGAAATTTCTTTTATCTGGTTCATAAATTCTGGTGGTAGATTAGTCCCCAGTAAACCTATGATGTGTCTTACCCAGAGTGATGATGCATTCTAGATTAGTGTCAACAAGAGACAACGTAGGATTCTAACCCAAGTCTACTTATATCATGGCAAAAAACTCGCCAATTGAGTTAACATCTTTGTCAATTTTAGTTGGTTCAAAACAGAGTACATCAAGAAAAATCATTTAATGAGGAATTTCAGCTCAAAAGCAGTGAATACTTTTAAGTAAAAATTCATCAAAGGTGGACCAAACTCCAAAAATAAAATATGATAAAGTATAGAAGGTCCACTCTTACAATGACAAAGTACCAAACAGGTGAGTGAAAGATGTCTACAAATGTAGATAATCGGAACTAACAATTTCTTCCCGTGATAATTAAAATAAGTTGCCTGAAACTTATCGAACATTAGTGAACAATGACTTTCTATGAATCAAGGTGCATTTCCGGATTTACCCATATTCAAAAAACCCTTTCCATTTACAGGCATGGCTAAAGAGAAATAGCATTAACAAATTATATTGACTGCTGGTTTACAAAGGTTATATAATAACAGGGCTTGACACTGCATGTATTAATAGTGTCAAGATCAATATTCAGAACTGAAAGTTAAGCTTTGATGGTCAAATGATGTGAGCTGAAGTGAACTTCAAGCAGTTTAAGATTTGGAACTGCGAGAATACTGTGAAGAAATTGATTCAGATTGGAGAGAAAAGATTACCTAGACCTCAAACCTAACATCAGCAGATGCCACCTAAATCGATTGCACATAGACTACAGTCTAAAAAATCTGAAAGTTTTACAAATACCATAACTCCTAAAATCAAATACACGTAAAACAAATTCTGCATCTTTGGAAATACTAATACATGTCATTAATGAATCTATCTACTTTCATTTGTCATATATATATATATATATATATATATATATATATATATATATCACTAATTGTTGACATTTTATAATTCCCAAGGAACATCACAAACAAAATAGGCCCCAGAACCTCCATAAGACGACTAGAATTCGGCATACAAGAAAGCAGTGCTAACAATAAACAAGATGCAGAACAGAAGATATCAAAAATAGAACTTTCATAACATTTAACTTTATCCTTATGTACAGAAGGATTCTTACTGAGCCATTCCATTCAGCACGATGAACGGTTCCAAAAGAACCTGAAAAGAACCAAGTCCAAACCAAAACATTGAATTATGACCAAGAATATGACCTCTCAGTAGTCTATTCTGTGAAAATAACTTTCTTAAAGACGATGAGAAAATACCAGAACCAATTCTCTCTCTTAAAACAAGATCACTCCATGGAATGTCCAAATCATCAACTTCAAGGACAAGTTCTCTACTTCTTTTTCCAGGAACAAGTTGATTACCCTTAGCAAACCTTGAATCCTTAGTGGAACCCCCCATTGGGCCAGCCAAGACTAGATCTGGGACATCTCTATGCCCTAGAGGAGGGACGTGCTTTAAAGGATCTTTAATGATGTTCTTTGAGCTTATTATAGACTGTGAAAACTGGGAATCTCTATCATGAGTAGGTGGCTTAGCACTATAACGTAGGGGTAACTGTGAGACATCATTCATATTACTTGACATCTGCACATGGTTATTTCTGTCTGTGCCAATGTTACCAAGTTTCTTTTCTTCATCCATAAAAGTACCTGAAATGACGGACAACTATAGCTTACTTGCGTACCAGATGAATAACAAAAACAAGTTTTAACCATGCAAAGATAAGGCATGACTGAACACCAGGAAAAGGCATCAAATTTATATATCACAAACATCTAATGTATTACAGATATAGAAATGGCAGCCTCAGCAGTATTATAAAAGTGCAATTAACAATACCAAACCAGCTAAGCAAATATACATACATACATACATATACATAAATATAAATATATATATATATATATATATATATATCAAAACCAGATTAAAATCTATTTATGAATGCTTGCCCACGTAAAATTGCAAGGGTCGCTTTTCTGGTTTTCCCTTATAACTTGAAATAATCTGACAACACCTTCATTTGAGTCCAGGATGAAAAATTTTAGCCACAATTGAAAAGCCAGTGAAAAAAAATTCAGTGGCAAGATTCACAACTGTTAAGTTATGAGATGAAATTATCTATTGCTTTCATCAATGCAGATGCTGAAATTTTTTATAAGAACTTGAAACAATACAATTCATCTTTGAATGACATTGTACTCAATAAGGCACTTCACAAAATATGACATGTGGGCAAAAAGAGCAAAAGAAACTACATACTTCAAGCCAAATGAAAGACTAAAGCCTGAAATCTAAAAGCAGATAAGGTGCATTCAATAAAGCTCTTCATATAGATAATAACCGAAAATTTACCTGCTGTAGCATCATAAAATACAAGATTAAGTGATTCACAGTCTGAAAAGTATTGTTTGGCCAATGACCTGAAATCAGTGGCAGGTATAGCTGGTTTGAGATGTGGAAAGCGCAATGGGGAAGAAATTGAGATGGAAGAAGGACCATTGAGCAAGGAATCTGGCTCGCATAAGTAACCTGGGTTTCCAATTAGATCAACAAGATACTCCCTGAAATCACAAAGACAGTAAGGTAGGACAATTTCTCCATAATAATAATATCCAATAATTCTCAATATCAAATTTGTTCAAGAATCAAAATTCAATCTCCAAACACTATAAAACCTATGTAAATAAGCTTCAGAAAGCTCATGAAAAAATAAAGCTCATCTACACTAGTGAATTAAAACCCTTCTAGATTTATTTCTAGGATAGACATTCTGCCATAACTTGGAAGGTTCTCCATCAGATTGGCTTCATGAGATTATTCTTCCATATGGAATACTTTAACCAAGGCAAGACAAGGCAGTTTTTCACAAACCGTTGACCAAAATGGGAAGAAAGAAACACAACAAGCAAATGCACTGCAACCAAGCAAGTGAAGTAGCGGGTGGAATTAAGCAAAATATAGTTTCAAAAAGGTTGATCAGTTTCACATGACAAACAACAAAAATCAATTAAAAATGCAGGGTTCCTTTGCCAGCAAAACATTGTAATTTAGAAACAAGTCACTAAAGAAAGACAAATTCAGAATTTAAAGGAAATAGATTGTAAATCAGAAATAAAACAAACATAATCAACACCAGCCGAAACCAAAATATCACGTTGCTGATATAAAATACCTGTCAAGCCCAAAGCGAACAAGGCAAGAGGAAGCATCGTCTCTTTTGCAATATTTGCATCCCTTTGCAATCCGACATGGTAGATCAATTGTGTCAGCTAGCACCTGCATAAGTCATGTTTGAACTGTGAATGAATCCCCTTCCCTTCAAAGGGTAAAAAAACATTTTATAATAGGAAATTTGCTCCACAAGTACTGAAGGCATAAAAAGTTAACAATTAACTCAGGTCCTTACTTTAAATAGTAAAGCTCGATGTCTGCAAAGGCCAGCGGACAGGCTACCTATGGGAACCACAACTGAACCTAAGCAATCTTTTAAATCATCACTGCAGTCCCTCCAATATGAAAACAAGTCATCCTCTTCAGTTGTAAATGAACCCCTTCAGTTTGAAATAGAACAATTATTCGCCATGGCACAAAAAATTGTATGAATTTTGAAATTTTGTGCATTAATCCTATACTCACCCCATGCGACAGCAGACAAGCTGTGCTAACTCCTCAACAACTTTTTTTGAGGTTATGCAGCTACGAGAAATGTTATAGACTCTATTTTGGAGTTCCTTTATGCCGAGATCATTTCTTCGGTCAACTAATATCACTTCTAGTGGTGAACCAACCGCACGATCAACAGATCTTAGAGAGTCAATTGATGGAATTCGCCCATGCTCATGCAGATCAGTGCACATAGTCCAGACATATTGATTAACTCCATGAATTAAATAAAACCCATCAGGAACCTTTTCGAAATATGATAAGCAACCACTCACCTGATGCACATAACATTGAAAGATGAAATTCAAATGTTCAATTTTTTATCAACCAAATCCTGAAAACTTAACTAAACCCTAGTTTTCACATGACGTGTATTCCAGATGCTATGCAGCTATATACTACCATAGTACCCACATTCATGTCAAATATCAGAATAGTAAAAGTCACCTCTCGCAAAATTCAGAAAAATAAAAAATACCTTACACCAAAAGTTCAGATTGATATGACACTGAACCAATGGAAGACTACAGTTATGAAAAAAGAACTCTTCACATCACAACAAAGTGTAAGAGCTCATGCACTAACATCCAGTTTATATTATTACTGATCTTTAAAATCATCTAAAAAATAACTCCATTCAGTATCACGATGGTTATATTCAACTAGGCATATTTGTTCAATCTCCTAGCCTTACGAATCATTACGTAAATTTAAACAAGACAGGCGAATGGTGTAATGAACAAAAAAATCTACAAGAAACATACCCAGAACCGATGGGAAACTATCTCAGCAGAGCTTGAGCTAGTTGTTGCGGAATCATCCGAAACCGGACCCAAAAAATTTGGGTCATCAGCACAGGTAGCTTCCGAAGAAAGCCTCAAAGCCAACGCCAGCTGAAACTGATAACTCTCCTCCGTTTGCTGCGCCCAGCTTTTCCCCGACGACGAACCCCCAATTTTCGTTCTCAAATCCACAAGCCCAGAGCTCCCATCGTTACCACAAGCGAACGCATCCATCTCGTTAGCCGCCGTCGTAGAAAGGGTCGGCACATAATAATCTCCCGACAAAGAGCTCTCACCAAAGCTACTCCCGCTCGATTGCCGTTGAAGACCGATCGACGAAGCAAAAGTATTCCCTCCTCCTCCCCCGCCGCCGCCACAGATTCGATTTGCTTGTAGCTGGGCGTGGTTTTGACTCTGACTCTGATCCCAATCAGTTAAACCTCTCTCCAATTTCACTTTGTTCTTGCTACTTGCGGCTTCGCTTGAAATCGAATCGTAATACGGAGGCGGAGCTCCCGATATGGACACCGAGAACTGGTCGTCGGGATACTGGCTAAGGAGAGAGTAATTGGATCTTCTCCAGGGCATTTCCATTGAAGCTCTAAAGGAATTGCCTATCACAAAACCCTAGAAAACCTATGAACCGCCATTGATGAATATTTGAAGCTTTTTAGCTTTTTTCCCCCCTTTGTATATATATTTTTCTTTTTCCTGAACTTTTTCCTCTTTCTACAATTCTATTGTCGGAGAGAAGGAAAAGGTTCCATTTTTATTCGGTGGCGTTATTGTAATATGATTTTTTGGTGGGTAAATTATACAAATGATCATTTATGTTTGAGTCAGTTTTTGTTTTAACCACCAATAATTAAAAAGTTACCTAATATTATCAAGGGTAAAATACACCCAGATCACTAAACTATGTGTTTGGTAACAAATTAGTCACGTATCAATTAGAAAATTATTACACACAATTCGATAGTCACTAAAATTGAAACATGTCTAACATAATTTGATATAATAATAATTCCAGTCTTAAAAATCTATATATATCTATCAAATTTATCTAAAATTTATTAAATTATAAATAGAAAGAACTTATTCTTAAGTCACCAATTTTATTAGAAAATAAAGGTTCATTAAATAATAGTGAGCATATTAAGTGGCAGATCTATGTCTTGGGTGGGCACGTGTCTACATTAAATTTTGAATTTATTTATATTAGTTGTCAATTTTATTAATGGTGTCTTCCTGAAATTTTATTTGTGTACGTCCCTTATAAAAATTTTCTATTATTAATACATATGTACTCATCTTAAAAAATATTTATAGATCTGTCACTAAACATAATAAAGATAATCTAATATTAACCCTTTTATGATAATAGAGTATTTAAAAAGGCTTATGATTTTGTCCTTGTAAACCGCTAAGTGAATCATTCAAAGTATTTGTCAACCAAATGTTAATAAACACGTGTTAAGTAAATCTTTCAGAGTATTTATCAACCCAATACTAGCTAAAGATGTGTTAAGTGAATCCTTTAAAGTATTTGTCAATCCAATACTGATTAAACACGTGCTAAGTGAATCCTTCGAAATAATTGTCAACCCAATACTAACTAAAAATGTGTTAAGTGAATTCTTTAAAGTATTTGTCAATCTAATACTAATTAAACACGTGCTAAGTGAATTCTCCAAAATATTTATCAATCCAATACTGATTAAACATGTGCTATGTGAATTCTCCAAAGTATTTGTCAATCAATATTAATTAAACACGTGCTAAGTGAATCCTATAAAATATTTGTCAATCCAATACTAATTAAACATGTACCAAACGAATCATCTAAAATATTTGTCAATATAATATTAATTAAACACGTGGTTTTATTTAGAGTAAGTTATAAGTATAGGTATTATCATTATAATGAGTACATATTTGTCTCGATACATGATTGGATCACTAAACATTAAACTCCTACTGAGTTAAGGTATGAACACTGTATAGTCAGCACATGATTTAAAGAGGTAAAAAACATAATTAAATGAAGATAAAGTGCACTCAAGATCAACACAATAACGTGGTTAGCATATTTCAAAATATAAGTTGCCTTACAAAAATAACTTATACTAATAATATGTATATCTGAAAATAAATAAAGTGTAAAGCATGTCGCTTATAGTACATCGTAATATTATCTTAGATGAAATTCTGTTAAATGTCATAGTGATCCAACATATCAAATATATTCAATCTTGTAACGCCAATGACATTGTGAGTTGCAATAACCATGATCAGTCATTCTTGTATACAAAGGAATCAAAGGAGGATTGTAGACACACTTTATACGACCGAAATATATTTATATATTATATATATATAATTATATATATTGTATAAATATTATTATTATTTTTAAAACTAACACATTTTACATTTTGTTTCATTTATGTATCAGGCCCAAAAATACATGTGGCCCAGCAGAATGTACATTGGCCCAACAAGCCCGTGAGAAACCCTAGCTCGCCCCACTCTTGCATCCAGCGCCGCTTACCCGAGAGATCCCTACAGCCACATGCATCTCAGCAACATTGATTTTCTCGGCAACCACCAACGCCTCTCCGACCATTTCGCACAGCACATCAACGGCGTGGGTACCTAGGACTCATCCACAACCAAGCAACAGAATATCAACGGAATTACGATTCTAGATTTGATACTAAAAATAGATTTTTTTCCAATATAAAAACTCATGTAATCGACACATTTGAGGGAGGAGAGTTTTACATTCGAGAGAGGCCACTTACGCACAAACACTACGATTTCACACGAGATTACTAAGCACGAAAATCACACAAAACATAGAGAAATACAGGCCTTGTAAACAGTTGAAAAAGCAATAAAAAAGGTGAAAGTCCTTACCTTTGTTTTGTTTCGCTTGCATGCAGGTTTTGTTTCGTTTCCTTGTTCTTGCATGTTGATTTGCGTGTGTGGTTTGGCTCGAAAATTACCAAAAACCCAAAAGGCCAAGGACCCGGGGAGGGGCTCTTCGGAAAGATCTCTCTAGATCTACCTTCCCGAGGCTATTTTTTCAAAAAAAAAAAACCAACACGATTTTCGGATTGTGAAAAAGAAGTGCTCTTTAAAAATGTGATTTCTGTGGTGGGCCACCGTCGATAAGCGGCAGCCGGCGTCGATACACGACGTCCGACGAGACGGTGGCCACCATTTTTCTGGAGAAGGCGGCAGCTGTTCATCTTATTGATGAACATTTGAGAGCATTTGAGGATTGAGGGGAGGCTCTCGTTGGTGAAGAAGGGAAAGTGAAAAGTAAAAGCCAAAGCATTGGCTTATATACCGACCCAGTGACTTTAGACTCGCGTGTTTCTGTTTAAAATGGGGTAAACCCGCTTTTGGTCCCTCCAATTTTAAAGTTCTGTTTTTACCCCAAGATCCGATTATTGCTTCGAAATTTCCGTAATTTGGTCACTTGATTTGCTTCCTTCCCAATTTAGTCCCTTGTATTCATGTTCTAATTATTAGTATTTTATTTATTTATTTAATTTTATTTATATATATATATATATATATTCCCTTTATTATTTGCATTATTTTTTCCTCTTTTATCCTTTATTAATTTTTTTTACACACATATATATATATATATATATTCTCTTTTTTATATTTTGTTATTTATATATATGGTATCTTTATATATATATTTGTTTATAAATATTCTAATATATATATTTTCCATCCTTTTTTCGTTATTACTAATTTTTTACCAAATATTTTTATTATTAATACTATATTATATATATACATATTACCTAACTAATTTGTTTTTTTTCTAAGCTTTTCTTCCTAGGCCACCCTTTGTTTTCCTACCTTCTCTCTTTCATCATATTTTCCAGGTGAATTGATGGCATGGGGCCCTCTCATTTTGTTTTTTTTTTCTTTCCTTTCGTTTTTCATCACGTTTTTATATATACATATATATATATATATATATATATAGATATTTTGTTCTAACTTACCTTATTTATTAACACTATTTTCTTTTCATTCTTCCCTTCATTTTGTTTTGTTTTATTTTTATTCATTTTATTATTTCGTTTTGTTTTATTATTTTATTTATTTTAATTTGTTTTCTTGTATTATTTTATTTTATGTCTTAGCCATTTTCGGGGATTTATTTGTTTCATTATATGTGTTTCTTTTATTGTTTGATCTTGTATTTAGCATGGTTATTTTTTTTATTTTCGTTAATAAACTTGTTTTCCTTGCAGTATTTTTGTTCCTCCTTTTTATCTAACATTTTATCATTTAGGGGTATTTTCGTAAACTTGTTAAAGGTAAGTAATTTGGATCTCTATTTTACCTTTTAATTTAAATTTTCAATTTTCTTAATTAAAGACAATTGGAAACTACGTAATACCGAAAGGGCAGTTCAAGGGTGCTAACCCTTCCTTGACTGTAACCGACTCCCGAATCTGACATATTTTTGGTAAGACGCAGATCAGGTAAGACATAAGGTATCCGATCAACACATTTTCTTTAAAATAAATGGTCGGTGGTGACTCCAATCCACATTTTTACTAAGTTGAAGCCTAATTCGGGGCCCAATCGAAAGAAAGTTCCGACAGCTTGGCGACTCTGCTGGGGACATGTAAGTGAGTCAGGCTAAGGTAATTTCCAGTTGTCTTTTTAACGAAAAGGGTAAATTTAAATTTTAAGGTAGCATTTCGATCTTTATTGCTTACTTTTGATTATATTTTTGAGTAAATGGTTGTACTAACCGTTTTTTAATGATTTCAGCCTTTAAAGTTTTTTCATCTAAGGCTCTATACCTAAGCTCCAAACCATGTTTTAAGTGGGTATGAAAGCGACGCATTCGTGTGAATTTATTCACCGTGTGGGCCTAGCAAGTAGCCTTCAGGATTCATATACCTTATGTCTTCGTGTGAATTTATTCACCGTCCGGGCATAAGGGAATGTGTCCCCTCGAGTTTAACTTAGCCCACATAAGCCTGTGATGGGTTTAGGACTAAGGGTCTGGCAAGCCCAAGGGCCCGGCAAGGAGAACTCGGGTACCGTTTTTTAGAACCTAAACCGGGAGACCATGGAGAAATAGAGCCTACCCCAAAACCCCATTTCAAATCCTATGACATTTTTCCCTAACCATGTTTTTCCTTCTTAATCTTCTTATTTTCCTTTCGTCATTTTTTATTTATTTATTTATTTTTATTTTACTGACTTGTTTGCCTTTGTGTTTTTTAGCATTTGCATCATTACGATAGGCTATTGATCCTTAAAAAAGTGTTTGTTATACACAAAATAATTCGGATTAATGGACAAAGGTGTTGTAATACAAGAGATTAAAATCGCTGAGGCACGACTATGGTCCGAGACGACTCATAAGGAAAAAGGAGACAGTCTTCAAGGAAGTTATGTGTCAGAGCTGGTAAACTACGCCTCTATCAGCCTAAAACAAAACAATGTGCAAGAGCTTCGAGACATCTAGGACAGTTGGAAGAACGACCGGAAATAGAAGTTCAGCTAACGATACAGTGACATTGCACTTTTACTTCATGTTAAGACTGATGAGCCCTTAATCAGAGTCTTGGTTCAATTCTGAAACCCAGGATACAGTTGCTTCACCTTTAACCGGGAGGACATGGTGCCCACTATCGAAGAGTACACTACACTACTGCACTGCGAAAGCATCAAACTAGAGAGGGCATATATCAAA